GCTGTGAACCAGAGCGGGAAACTTAGGGTACCTGGACTGCCTGGGTTTTCCACCCCCACCTAGACACGAAGGGCTCAGGGAGCCACAACTCCCTGCAGGCTGGAGAAGCCACCGGCCTGTTTGTTGAGCGCCTGCTACCCACCAAGAGCTTGTCTGCGTGAAGTCCACGCGGTCCTGCATACTGTTACCCAGCCATGCTCCGTGCCAGCTCGCTTGTACCCTTGGAGCCTCACACGGGTCTCTCTGTCCTGCTGACCCAGTGGACAGCATGTCTTTTGGGGATTCCCCCGGGTCAACTTCCTGGGCTAGGAGAGAAGCTGGGTTGGGGGGTGGGCCGAAGGCTGAACATAGACCAGAGGTGGCTCCGAGCAGTAGGTTTCAAAGCAGGGTCCCAGGACCAGCAGCCACAGTACCCCAAGAATGGTCAGAAGAGCACATTCTTGGGATGGGACCCAGCCAGCGACCCTGACATGCATTAAAGCATGACAGCCAGAGACCAGCAGCTTAGCCCACCAAAGCCCATGGCTGTTGTGTATAACGAACACGTGGTAATACCCTGTTTCTCATGCCCATATGAAACTCAGACAACACGGCTTACCTACACACCTCATTTCAAGACAGTCAATATACTGATCAGAGACAAAGGAGGAATGAGATCATTTATCTTCTCTAACGTATGAAATGTGCAGGCGCTAGTTAGTTGCAGTAAACGGCACCATGAAGTAACCAGGTTTTGGCACGATGGGAAGATCCCCAGGCCAGGCAGCCGATACGGAGGATTGCGCTGGCCACTTGCATATCTCGGGCATCACTTTTGCCACTGACGTGTTTTTTTTTCTTTTAATGGTGAACAATTCCTGATAGTGTTCTAAATAAAATACAGTACAATCATTCCTTAATTGACATAGTAGTGAATAAGTAGTCATTGACGTAGTAACAAGTTGTAATTAAACCAGGCCTAAAATACTTCGTTGTTAGGCCTTTGACTTGGATAATGATGGCAGGGTTTTTCACTCACACCAACACCAGTGCCCGGGCACATCCATGAGCAAACAGGTGGGGCAGCTGATTATACAGCGGATACCCCAGCTCCGCAGTCCCTCTGCCCCCAACTCTGATTGCTGGCACAACCAAAATTGCCTCCGCAACTGTCCTGCCACCAGTACTGTCCCCTCGTGCTCTCTAGGGAACCGTACTGCCCACAGAGAACCAGTGGTCTAGGGCCACATTCTCACAGCATGTGTGAGAAACAGGCCCAGAGCAGCTAAGTGACTGGCCTGGGGGACCCTGAGTGGCGGCCGGGGGGCTCTGGCCAGGCCAGGCTGACCAGGCCTCTCCTGTGCAGCTTTTTCAGAATGTCATCTACGTGCGGGGCTGCACCAACGCTGTGCTCATCTGGTTCATGGACAACTACACCATCATGGCGGCCATCCTGCTGGGCATCCTGCTTCCCCAGGTGGGAGATAGTGTGGCTCTGTGATTGCAGATGTGCGTAGGGAGGGCAGGGGGGCAGGGCAGTAGGGGACAGAGGAGAGGTTCTCTTAGCACAGACCGGGCTCCCTGGGGATGCTGAGGGCTGAAGGGGAGGGTGCATAGCACTAGCATTGCAGGTTAAGGTCTTCCAAGTGCTCCCCAGGCGCAGTCTTCAGTCCTTGGGAGGTAGGCATACGATTGTCATGCGAGTGCTCCCCAGGTGCAGTCTTCTTCTGTCCTTGGGAGGTAGGCATACGATTGTCATGCCCATGTCACAGATGAGGAAACCGAGGCGTGGTGAGATTAGGTGACTTGCCCAAGGTTCCATAGACAGTGTGAGGCCGAGCTAGGGTAGAGACAGTCTGGAATTCAAGAATCCCAGAATGGAGGAGTCCTTACCAGCAGGACACAGGGAGGTCTCTACGACTTCCTGGGAGGGGCAGAGGAGGCCCAGCTGGGGCTGCTTGGGCAGTGGGAGTGCTGGGAGAAGTCTGTGCTCTGGGGATTCCTGGTTGTCCAGCATGAGGGCTAGTGACTGGCTGCCCAGGTTTCTAGGTGCTGGGGATGCCAGGGAGGGCTACCCTGATGCCCAGGGGGCTCTCACTCACCCCGTCCTGCCCGTCTCCTCAGTTCCTGGGGGTGCTGCTGACTCTCCTCTACATCACCCGTGTGGAGGACATCATCGCGGAGCACTCGGCCACCGACGGGCTCCTGGGGCCTGGTGCGAAGGCTGACATGGAGGCAGCGGGCACAGGATGCTGCCTGTGCTACCCCAACTAGGCCCCAGCCTGGGATGGTGACTCCCGGAGGACTGTGCCAGGCAGCACCTCTCAGGTCTTGCCAGGGGGCTGGACAGGACTGCAGCCCCTCTGCCCACACATGGCACTGACCAAAGCCGGGGTGTGTGCTCTAGCACCCCACATCTGTGGCCACTTCCTCCAGGGGACAAAGCCTGAGCCCCTCCCCTGAGAGGCTTCTTCACAGCCCATCACTGGGGGCTCTCAGCTCTGGAGTTCTGCCCAGACTGGGGGACAAGAACGTCCCTACTCCAGGCCTTGGGCTCAGGCGGAGGGGGAGCTCAGGACTGCGTTCCTGGCAGTGCCTTGGTCCCTGGGGTGGCCGCCCCTTGGGGGGCAGTTCTGCAGGGTTTGTGTGGGAGAGTGAGGGGAAAGCGTGTGTCCCGAGGGCAGGAAGGGCACACTGGCTGCCCCGCAGTTCCCTGGCCACGCCTCAGAGGCCAGGTGGGGCTGTTGCTCAGTCTCCCAGGTGCCTTGAGCCCTCCGAGGGCTGCTGTTTGCTATTTTTTATGTGATTTTTGCAATACCCATGTTTTGTATACAGTTAACAAGAGTTTCGGACTAATCAAAGCTGTTGTTTCCCACACCCTTACCCCATTCTTGCCCCTCCAAGTCAGTTCATTAATGAAACAATAAAGACATGATTTTTTTTTTTTTTTTTTTTTTGGTCTTTTGTGTTGTTTGGGGGACTAGTGAGGAAGGCCTCAACCTGGACCTGGAAGCCCTTTTACAGACTGGGAAACAGGCATGAGGCTCTACGCCCTGAAAGCGGGGACCTAAGAAAACCGTCAGGGTCTGGTAAGGAGTAGTGCCCACAAATCCACCTGTGGCTTCAGAACCAGAGGGACTCCTTCCAAGAGCATGAGGACCACAGGGTGGCTGTATGCCATCACGTTCAGTGCTGCACACAGCTTGGTGCTGATCGCCCCCTGCTGGAGGCGGTGGTACTTGCATGGATCAGTCCACTCCAGTCTTCCAGCCCCCAAATGGGTTGTACATTTCCTGGAATATTCTTAATAGCCAGAGCAATTGAAAGACAATAGTAAGAGTCCCAAACCCAAAGGACTCACTCTAAGCAAGGGGACTGCCCATGACACCCAGAAGTGGTTGGACGCCAGGTCTGCCGTGTGTACAGCCAGAGCTGTCTGATGTGGAAGGGCAGGAGAAGGTTTCAAAGAGGACACTGCAGTGCAGCAGGAACACACACATTAGAGCAGTCTGTGCCAGGAACTTATCTACACATTTGTATATATTCTTTAATTTTCACAACTGCATGTGGTATTCGTAGTTAAGCCTTTTTTTTTTTTTTTTCTGGAGGTGCATGCACTCACCAGAGAGAAAGAAAGCACCCCCTCCAATGGGGATGGTCATGCTCCCATTCCTCCTCCATTTCTCCTTCCCCGTAGGATTTTGGTTGCATAGAACCATAGTCAGCCAGGTGGGATCCAGTTGTCTTAAGCCCCATGCCACTGGCCCAGAAATTCTCAATTTTATTGGTGGGGTCACTTAGGAACAGAGAATTAAGTGACTTGCCAAAGTATGTGGCTGGTAAGTGACAGAGCCATGATCTGAACTCTGTCAGATCACGGTACTCAGCCCTCTGCGGTACTGCATCGTGTGCATACACAGCACTAGGTGTGCACACATGCAGTATAGGATGTGCACATATGGCGTGAGGCATGCACTGTAGTACAGGGTGTACACACATGGCATGCACTGTAGTACAAGATGTGCCATGGTCCAGGGCTTGCACACATGGCACCAAGCATGCACTGTATTGCAGGGCATGCACACATGGCACCAGGCGTGCATCATAGTACAGGATGTGCACACATAGCACCAGGTATGCACTGTACTATGGGATATGCACATGTGACACCGGGCATGCACTGTATTGCAGAGCGTGCACATATGGCACCAGGCATGCATTGTAGTACAGGGTGTGCACATGTGGCACCAGGCATGCACTGTACTATGGGATATGCACACGTGACACTGGGCATGCACTGTATTGCAGAGCGTGCACATATGGCACCAGGCGTGCATTGTAGTACAGGGTGTGCACACGTGGCACCTGGCATGCACTGTATTGCAGAGCGTGCACATATGGCACCAGGCAAGCATTGTAGTACAAGATGTGCACACATGGCACCAGGCATGCACTGTACTGCAGGGCATGCACACATGGCACCAGGCGTGCATTGTAGTACAGGATGTGCACATGTAGCACCAGGTGTTCACCGTGGTACAGGATGTGTGTGCGTGGGACCAGGCATGCACTGTAGCACAGGGTGTGCACACGTGGCACAGAACAGCAGGCAGGGTTCACTGCAGCTGCTACCACAGCTCTCCACGTGGCAGTCATTGGCGTTACTGTGGGAGCCTGCCTGGTCCCTGTGGGCTGTAGAAAAGATCAAGCTATGGGGCCATGTGGCTCTGTGACTGGCTGATCTTTGGGGTTCTCTCTGCGCAGAGGGGAGAGGGCAGCTGCCATAGGGACAGAGCAGGATGACAGGCACCGGGCTGTGGGGGAGGGTAGGACTGCACTGTGTGCCTATCCACAGTCACTTGACCCTGGACCCTGGAACCCTCGTCACTGTCTCCCTCCTTCCTTCACTGCTGACACCCCTCTGCCTCACTGCAACCCCGAGAGGCTGCTCACAGGGCCCTGGGTTCATGGCTGGTGCCCACCGTAGCTGAGCTCCAGTGGACACTGACCTCCTCTTCTCCAAACCTCCGTCACTTCCCTGCCAAGAAAGCGAAAGGGCACAGATGGGGAGGGCAGTGTCTGTCCTGTGGTTGGGGACTCCCTGCCATTGCACTCCTTTGTTCTTCAAAGCCAGCTGCAGCAGCTTCTTGCCACCTCATTTTGCAAGGATGGAAGAATGAGCTCATTTTTCCCCCCAAATTATGGCACAAATAGAAAATGACATTTGTGCAGTCCACAATATTTGTGAAACTAGAGATTTGTGGGCTTTGCTTTTGGACTTTTTTGTTACATAATTATTTTTAAAAATGCATTCAAGAAGACTAAAAATGCCAACTACAAAATTCTCAGTATTTTTAAAAAGTCAGTTTCTTTCATGAGAGCGAGAGAGAAAGACAGAGAGACAATGGCAAGATCCAAAAGAGGGTCTCGTGCTGGGATCCCACCCCCAGCCTTCCCAGCCAGCCAGGATTGCTGTGGTCACCAGGCACGCCCACGCCCATCGCAGCGCTGAACCTGAGCTCATCTCCCACGTGGCGTCCGCATCACTGGAGCAGTCCGTTACCAGGGCGCCAACCAGCCGGCCCTCGAGATATATTTTAACAGTTTATAGAGGTACACTCGACGTAAAATAAACTACATACTTAAAGTGACAAATGTACGTGTTAGTGAAGCCATCACTGCGGTCAGGATAATGAACCTACCCATCATCCTAAAAATACCCGCTTGTCTCTTTGTCATCCCTTCATTACAGCCTTTCCCATCATCTCCCTGCCCCACCTCCAGGCAGCAACAGATCTGCTTTCTGTCTCCATAAACACTTAGTATTTTCCAGAGTTTTATATAAGGACTCCTACAGTATGCATTCTTTTCATGTCTGGCTTCTTTCACGCAACATAATTATTTCGAGATTCGTTCATTTTATAGCATGTTTGTTCCTTTTTATGCCTGAGTAGTATTCCATTCTATGAATACACCATTAATGCCATTATTTATCATTCACCTATTAATAGACATTTGTGTTGTATTCCGTTATTTCTTCCTGTCATTAAAAATAAAGCTACAATAAACATTTGTGTACGTGTTCTTGTAAAAACATACTTTAATTTCCTTTGGTTAAGTATCTAGGAGTGGAATGGCTCAACCATGTTGTAAGTATAAGCTTAAGAACTATTTCCCAAAGTGACTGCACAATTGTGTGTCCCCACCAGCACTTAGGAGAGTTCCAGTTCCTCTACATCCTTGCCAGCATTTGATATGGTCAGACTTTTCATGTTAGTCATGCTATGAGTATGTGCTGATATTTTATTTTGGTTCACAGTTGCATTTCCTTAAACATGTTGAGTGTCTTTTCACTTAAGTATCTTCTCATGGGCTTATTTAACATCACATAATTTCTTTAGTGAAGCATCTGTTAAATCCTTTTTTTCCCCTTTTAGTTTTACTCTAGGGCATGTATGCTTACCAAAGAACTAGAGAGAGGCAGAGAGAGAGAGAAAGTGCAAAACCACCCCCCAGGGGATGGCTATGCTGCAATCCCTTCTCCATTCTCCTCTTGCACCTGTGCCTAGCCTGATTTTTTTTTTTTTGAGAGGTTTTTGCTATAGGGCGCATGCGCTCGCCAGGAAGACAGAGACAGAGACAGAAAGTGAGAAACCACCCCAGGGGGGGGTGGCCATGCCACAATTCCTTCTCTTCCATTCTCCTCTTGGGATCTTGGGCACGCATCCACACATGCCCGGCGTGAGTTTAAGCCACCGGGTCCGGGATTTGAACCCCGTTCAACTACGTGGGAGCCCAGCAACATAGCCATTACGCTAACTGCTGATCGCCCTAGCATGAGTTTTAAGCTTCTGAGTCCAGGACTCAAACCACACAGTCAGCAATATAGGACCCAGCTGCCTTAACCTCCATGCCACATACTGTCCTGATCTTTATATTTTTTTTAAATCGAATTGTATATGTATGTGTGTCTATATATAAATTGAGTTTTGAGAACTCCTTATATATTCTGGATACAAATCCCTTATCGGATAAATGGTTTGAAATATTTGAAGACAAGTCTGTGCTTTGTCTTTTCGTTCTCTTAATGATATATATTTTTTTTTTTTGGAGAGATTTTCACTGTAGGGCGCATGCACTCGCCAGACAGACAGAGAGAGACATAGAGACAGAAAGCGAGAAATCACCCCCCAGGGGGGATGGTCACGCCGCAATCCCTCCTCCTCCATTTTCCTCTCGGGATCTTGGGCACGCACGCACATGCGCCCGGCGTGAGTTTTAAGCCACCGGGTCCGGGACACGAACCGCGGTCGACTACATGGGAATCCAGCGACATAGCCATTACGCTAACTGCTGGTTCCCTTAATGATATTTTTCAAACAGCAGAAAATTTTAACTTGAGGTCCAAGTTACCAATTTTTTCTTTTGTACATATACTTTTAGTGTCATGTCTCAGAAATCTCTGCCTAGCCCAAGGTCACAGTTTTTCTTCCATATTTTCTTTTTAATTGCCAGAGGGTTCATGCACTTGCACAAGAGAGACAGAGAGATTGGGTTGGGTGGGGAAGGGAGAAGACACCTTCCCAGTGGCTGTGGTCATGCTGCTCTTCCTTCTCCATTCTTCCTTCCCATCAGGATTTTGGGTACATACATGAACTTGGCTTTTTTATTTTATTTTTATTTTTTTTTGGGGGGGGGAAGAGGTTTTTGCTATAGGGCGCGTGTTCTTGCCAGAAAGAGAGAAACAGAAAGTGAGAAATCACCCCCTGGGGGGATGGCCACACCGCAATCCCTTCTCCTCCATTCTTCTCTGGGATCTTGGGCACACACACATACGCACCCGGCATGAGTTTAAGCCATTGGGTGCAGGACTTGTACCGCGGTCGACTACTTGGGAGTCTAGAGACAGCCATTACGCCAACTGCTGGTCCCGGCGTGCTTTTTTCAA